TGCTCCTCTGAGACTCACACGTCCGGGTCCCGTCCCTCCTGAGAGCCCTGACCTTCGAGTCGGGCCCTTCAGTCCTTGGAGCCTCACCGTTCCCCCTGGGAGATGGTGTCTCTGAGGGCCACAGTGGCCCCATGAGTCTAGCACACAAGGTCCTTCACGGTGCCCGACGTCGGTGAGCACGTGAGAGAGGGGACCCGTCTGTGGCTGCCGGGCTCGGAGGTCCCTGCCGTGAGCTGTAGACCAGGCCAGCAGCCAGGGCTGTGCTGGGCCCTGGGAGGGGCGCTGGCATCGCTGCAGCTCTGTGCTGCCAGCACTGCCTCCCCGTGTCTGTCCTCGGGGGGCTGAGCCCCAGGGTGGGCATCTCCTCTGGCTTGGCTGAGGCACCTGCCACCCTCTCTGCTGGTCTGTGGCCTTGTCACCAAAGTACCCTGGGGTGTCACAGGACAGGAACCAGGGACCAGGCCATGGCATGACAGGGCCCGTGTTCTCCCCTTGTCAGCTTGTCCCTGCCCCAGCTCTCTGACCTCTCTAATTCAAGAGGGCCCTGGGGCGACCAAAGCATCTACACGGCAGATGCTGGGGCAGAGCTATGTCTCTGGTGACCCAGGTCTCCCCATCTTCCCCGGGAAGATGGACTCCAAGACTTCCAGCCTCAGAATCCTTGCCCTAGTGGCCTCCAGAAGTAGAGTGTCCTTCTTCCTCGCTGCCCCAAGGACAGGACCCCGAGCTTCTCTCCCTGCCCCCAGGTCACCACGAGCATCCACGGGAAGATGGACTCCGAGACGCCCAGCTCAGTATCCTCGCCCTTCCTGAAGAGGTGTTGAATGTACCTCGTGCTCGCTGCCCCCAGACAGGACCCTGTGGCTTCTCTGGCTGCCCCCAGGAGAAACGATCAACCACCATGAGAAGGACTCCAAACCCCATCTTCAGAATCCTCGCCCTTCCAGAAGAGGTGTTGAATGTCCCTCATCCTCATGCCCCAAGGACAGGACCCCGTGGCTCCTCCATCCCCGGGGAGCAGCTGCTGCCTGGGAAGAACCTCGTTGCCTCTGTTGGTGCCCATGCATTGCCCTGCACTACTGCCTCTGTGCCTGCAAGTTAACTGATTTATGAGTTTAAGAGAAATCCATTAGGTCATAAATTTGTGGATGGAGAAACATGATTGCCTCAGTGTGGGTTCGGGCACCTGTGCTCACACACGGGGAGGGGAGCGCTGGGAGCCTGGAGGAGGCAGCTTGGAGCTGCACCCAGGGCCTGGGCTGAGTCCTGGCTGCAGTGCCCAAGGCTGGCACTGTCTTGGTTTCCCACCCCCTGGGGCTCTGTTTCTGGCTCTGTCAAGGGGGTGTGAGTGACAGGAGCACCTGCCTCCAAGGAAGCACCGGAACAGCACCAGACTCCCCTGGCTGCTGGGTAGGGCTGGGTCCTTAGAAGCGATTAGCTGCCTGGGCGGGGATCTGGGAGCTGTCAGCCGTCTGTGGGTCCTGGGCCGTGTGGGAGCTGGCTCCTTCCTGTGACCCCACTGGCCTTTCCTTTGTCCTTGCCCCTTCTCCTTGTCTCTCTGTCCCTCCACTGTTGGAGCCCCGAGCCTGATTTGGAGCTCTGTCGCTCCCTTCTTCGTGGAGGAACGACACTAAACCCTGCCTAGGCTTCACATCCGAGTCACGGCACCATTATGTCGCTCCCCCTCTTCGTGGAGGAACGACACTAAGCTCTGCCTAGGCTTCACATCCGAGTCACGGCACCACTATGTCGCTCCCCCTCTTCGTGGAGGAACGACACAGGACCCTGCGCTGTTCTTTTGTCTGCTCTGCCCTCCCCGGGTTTGCTGCTGGTTCTTCCCGGGTTGGCTACTGTCCCTTCCAACTCCGTGGAAGGGCGGTTCCCCCTAGCCACTTTGCCCACTTCCGCGGGGGAGCGGCACACCGCCGGCCGGCTCTCTCGGGGGCTGCACAGGTGTTCCTTCAGATAGATGTTCCCCTTAGATGTTCCTGGTGCATGTTGTCTCTCTCCTCCTTTATAGTCCTCTTCCACCAATCCCAACTCTGCTACCCACACGCCGAGTACTCTGCTCTCCTCCAATCAGGAGCAGGTCCTGCTGTTTATTGGTTGAACTGGAGGCAGCTGTGTAGAAGCCGTCTCTCCCTTCTCAGCGCCATGTTGTGGGAGAGCAGATGCATAGAATAAGTCTTAATTCCAGTAACTTAGTTTAGTCCGGGTTGCTACCCACAGAGCTCTCTCTCTCCTTCTCTGTCCTCTGTTCCTGTCCAGTCCAGGTGGCCTCTGTTCCTCCCCTGACCTGGGAGCCCTGGGGTCAGAGCCCTGGGCGTCAGCATCCGGGAGCAGATGCCAGGACCTGGCTCAGGGCTCAGGTTCAGAGACAACTCTTTCGCGGGACCGAAGGAAGCTCCTTTGGCCAGGTGCATGGAGTGGAGTCCATGTGAGGACAGCATTATCACAGAGAAATGGTCACGAGTCAGGCAGCTCCCAGAACTGGAGCAGGTGCTGAGGACCCCACTCCATGACAGGTGGGACAGCTTTGCTGGACAACAGGAAGTGAGGTGGGGAGATCAGCACCAGGGCTCCAGTTCAGTCCCCACACCTGCCAGTCGGGCACCTCTTAACTAGTTAATTGCTCACAGCCTCATTAATGAACTGCCTCTGGGTCTTGTGCCGCAGCCCCAGCCCCTTGGCCCTGATGAATCTGTTTGGGTAGGGAGTATGGGCCCAATGCCGCTGCCTGGTCCAAATCCATGATTTGCATGAATTTTCTTTAATACCTGGTATGGCCTCCCTGATGTCACCTTTTCATCCCTAGGTGGAGCAGAGGTAGACTAGGTGACGTTTCATCAAATTATGAACGTCCGAGCGAAGGGTCTTGTTAGCATCTGAGTTCCAAGACTCTGTTAACTTTAGATGTTGCCCCGGTCTGGTGTCTCCAGAAACCAGATAGGGGAGGCCGGAGAGCTGGGTGCAGGGTGGAGCCTCTGGGTGTCCTAGGTGCTGGGCCCTCCCTTCTACTGCCCCCAGACGGGAATATTGAGCGACTGGATGCGGCTTTAGGAGTGTGTGGATCCTAGATGGGAGTCTGAGCAGGCATGGGCTCCACCTCCGAGTGGGCGGCTCCTTCATCAGTGGGGACCTCGGAGACAGGAGGGCGGCAGAGGAAGGGCGAGCTGGGCTCTCTCTGTGCCTGCGGTCTTAGCTCTCCCAGCTCAGGGTCAGAACCCAGGTCCTGAGTATTCTGATCTGGAGCTCAAACCCGTGGACTCTGAGCTCACGGTGCAGCCTGAGTCTGAGAAGGACACCAGGGAGTGCGGGGTCCTGCGGGCTGGGTCTGTGCCTGGCACCCAGCACTCCTGGTTCCCTGCCTTGCAGACAGAGCGCACTGGGACTACACAGTGCCATCACCAGGTGAGCCCCTCCCCTGCCTGGCTCTCTGTGCTGTGGTCTGGCTCCCTGCAGAGGGTGGTGGGATGGATTCTGAATCCTCTGGGGACCTTGCTGGGTGCACTGCTGCGGGAGAGGCCGGCATGGGAGTTCTGGGGTTCGGGAAGCTTCCGGTGGTGCCCAGGACAAGGCTCTCCGTCTGGCGTCCTCAGAGCGCCCTGGGGATCCCTGCAGTGGGACGTGCAGACCCAGAGGGTGCCTGGGGCGGGGTGGATGGGAACCCCAGATCCACCCCTTACACAGGTCCACTGAGCAGCCGCACACC